CCTTAAACTCCTCCCCAGCCCTACCCTCATTGGTTGCTGTTCCTACTCCCCTCCTCTTGAGTTCTGTATAAAACCTTTGTTCGCCCTCTCCACAAGGTCTTGGGGCTCACCGAATAAATCCATCTTGTTCACCCCCAAGTCCCGTGTCGCCTCCCTCTGTTCCCGCGCCACCGACTGGGACAGCAGAGCACCCCGGGGGGAGCGGCCGCCCGTTCTCTTCCCTCTCGCCGCCCAGCACGCCACCGCTCGGGGTATCGCGGCGAGGGGGGGCGCATGCTGCGCCGCGACATCATTAAGTTTCTTTCCACTCAATTTTCCAGCCTATCAAAGTCCCACTGAATGCCAGCACAGCCTTCTGGTTTATCAGCCTCTCCCCACAGCTCTCTTTCATCAGCAAACTTGCTGAGGGTCTCTTTCCTTTAGCTGTCTCACTGAATCGAAAAGAGGATCTTTCTTGTTTTAGTTTACATTCATTCCTGGCTTATCACATACTCGTTTCACTGTGAGAAATATTATGTTGAGGGTCCTACAAAGACACGGTGAGCATGGAATTACTCCTGTGTTGCACATTTCTTATCTTAAAGGAAGGATACTTTTTTAATTTTTTGGTGTAATTGTTGTAGAAAACATAAAATACCTGAAACTTCTATTTTATAGAATTTTATAGTATTTTAATTTCAAGACCTAAAATACAAAACCCCTAAAAGCAATCTTAAGGATATTTCCACAAAGACTTTCTTCATGGTTTTATTTTTGTATTACAAGTGTGTTACCTTTGAAAATGCAAATATATATCATCATAAATTGCAATACAGGACATACAAAGACTTCCTGACCTTCATGTAGCATAAAAGGATTGTGATCAAATAATCAAATAATTTAATGCAGTAAAGGTTAGTTTAAAAAGTATCCAAGTTTGTATTCCAGACATAGACAGCAGATGTTGATTTACAGCTGGACCTGTGGTGGAAGGCATCTTCTGCCATTATCCCTGTAATGGGGAAGAAAAAGAGAATTGCTGCTGGCATGTGCATTTAAGCTGGGTAGTATTAAACTGAACTAACATTCAACACATTCCGTTCACCTGCATTTGTCCTGTCTCTGCAAGTTGTTTGTAAGTTCATCTCTAACCTCAGTTTCCACCTCTTTACAGTACAGGGCAAGCAAGGAAAAAATGCAGGAAAGTCCCCTAGAAAGTGACTCCTTCCTTAGCCTAAACCCACTAACCAAAACTCAAGAGACACCATTGATATGTGTCATATTAAGAAGCAGAAGAAAGGAAAACTTCTACAGTTTTAGGGTACAGAATTAAGAACAGAAGCCCAGGTTAAAACTGGTATTTTCCAGTTTTTCTCTTTTACCCCAGATCTGAGCTTGCTGAGGCCAATTCCAATGAAGTTGTTTGGGTTAGGTCTTTGTACTCTCTGTGGTTTTGAACCTGACAGGCAGGATTGATAGCAAATCTTTTGGCTAGGCATATGATATGTGACAGTAGTCTAGTGATTGATGTAAGTAAAAACCCAGATTTTTCAGATCAGCTAGTGGAGATAAGTATTGCATTTTGGCTTATGGAAACTCATAGCATTTGATAACTGATTTGTTTTTAAAAACACTACACTGAAAAGTATCCATGAAAGGGGACAGGCTCATTTTAATTAATCCATCAGATCAATACCTGAGCAGAAAAGGCTGGCAGAGCTTGCAGGAGAATTGCATGTTAATAAAGTTGGAGGTCACTCATTTTTCTAGGTAATTATTACTTGACAGAAAAGCATTTATGAAAGCCATGCTATGTATAACTATTTAACTATACTGTGTACAACTGTTTAAAGAAAGGGAAGAAGCAGATATTTCTGAGGACAGTGACAACAGGCAAATAATTATCTATCCCATTCCTCTAATCATCTTGGCCTTGTCATTCTTACCCGGTGTGTATCTGAGATTATGTAAGTATTCCAGCTACTATTGTCATGTGGGATGGCAGTTTCTATGGCACAATTTTTTCTCTACTTTTGGAGAGTATCTGCCTTTGATGAGGGGATAAATCTTGACTTCCAAAGTCATCCCCAGTTTCAGACAGTGACTTACCTGTCTCAGTGGTGCCTGCCCTGTCACTGCAGCACAGTACACTGCCTGCTGCTGTAGGCACTGCTGTGGTCCAGCATTGGCATGTACATTTTAGCCACGATGCAGTAGCTGACTCCAGGTCTCAAATCTTCTATTTTAATAACCTTGTCTTTCCCTTCATACACCAGGACCCTGTTTTGCTTCATACAGAGTGGGAGAAAGAAGAGCCAGTCAAGCACATTTCCCTAGCAAGTGTGTCTGTGAGTAAAGTTTGATGAGAACAGAGGATGCAGAACAGCACATGGACTTATACAATCGCAATAGCATTAATAACTTATTTATGCTTTTTAAAGAAAATTCCCTTCCCCACCCAAATTCCATTCCTGTCCCAATTTTTTAAACTAGGTCATAGATTATGAAATATTAAGTTGATGGAAAATAATACAGGGAGGAATTACAACTCAATCAAATTAAATTCCTGAAATATAAGCCTACTTTGTTTTCAAACGCTTGCACAGTCATTGCTGCTCTCACAATCCCAGAAGACTGTTTCAACAGCAAAACAGCGCTCACACTTTTCTGGCTATTCAATGGCAAAGGGTTCATATCTGAATATACTCTTACCTCATCTAGCAAGTTGTTAATTATGAAGACTTGAAACAGCAAATCATAATAACTTGTCATTGGTATTTTGCTGCCTCTCTTCCTTCTATAAGGAGAACGTGGAGCCTGGAGCTTTACTGTTATGGATTTGTTGCTATGAAGCACAGTTACCAGTGGAGGTCCTATCATAGCTATGGAAAAAAACCCAAACACACTATAAACACAGTTATTGTTTATGAATAATATTTCCTAGAATGCAATTTGAATCCATTCAACAAATGCTCATGTTACTAACAATATATTATGCTGTATTTACTCCTCAAGTGCCACTTTGTAAATTCCTACTTCTTGGTGTTTATTTGGTTTGGTTATTGTTATTTTGAAGATGGCATTTCCTGCATTTGTAAAGCTATCTTTGAGCCAAAATTTTTGAAATCCCTTAGAGCTGGTGTTGCTAAGTGCTGACTGATCAAGCAAAATTCCAAAATTGCCCTAATTTGCTTTTTTTCCTCATATTTGTCTTTATGCTTTCTGCACAAAACATCCATTTAAACTATTTCAGCTGTGCCAAGGATGCAGTTTACATCATCACTTTCAAATATTTTGCAATCAGCTTGGTTAAACACAGCTAAGGCTTGAAACCAGTGCCTGCATACTTGTGTGTGCAGCACCAGCAGTGTGGGGACATGGGCAGCAGCTGCAACACGAATCTCTCCAGGAGGAGGAGGTGGCACAAGGCAAGGTGCTCTGGTTTTGCTGCAAGGTACTTTATGTCAAAGCTTGTGGTTTCATCTGTGCAGGAGGCTCAAGGTGGTTTGCACTTCAGGGCTGAGAAGTGATCCACACTGAAAATTTGATTTTGCATTGGCCAGTGAGGGGAAAACTAGTTAATTCATGGTGAACTTACTGGTAGGTAGACTGCTACTGTTCAGTGTTTGGGCAGTCCTCCATTTCTAACATACTCTGACACTATAATGACAGTGCTAGCCAAAAAGCTTTGCACATGTCCTTTCCTGCAGTCAGGACAACACATAAATGTGAGAAGGATAGCAGCCTCCCACCACACACTCTGTTCTCTCTTCTCCCCACAAAGAAAAATGCTTATTTTTGTTGTCTTCAGTCCTTTCCTCCAGCAGCACCAAAAATGCCTGAAAATTATTTCTGTATTTCCATGCCCAGAGAAAGAGCTTGAATTAAAGGGATCTTTTGATCTCCTAATTACTGGTAAATGGCTATTTAGCCATAATCGCTTGGCTTTCAAGTGTGTGGAGAATTTCTCTGGCATAGCACTTCACCTGAGAGCTATTGACTCACTTCTTTACAAACAGCTTTGTGGCTAGAAAAGGATTACCCATATTTGCAAGTTGTGAGCAGAAATTATACTTTCCATGCCATGAAGATCAATTTCCTTCCAGAGGGACATGTATATTTGTACTTACTTTCTCTCCAAGGAGTGAATCTGCAGCTGAGGCTCCAGTTGGAGTAGACACCAGCCAGGGCTGCTCTCACTCTGCTGTAGTAAGGCTCCTGGATGTCAGAGGTCTCATGTGTTAGGTCACAGACACGGCTTGAAATCCCCCAGCACTCATCTTTGTTTTGCCACGTACTCTGCCCATACCTATGGAGAAAGAGGAGGGATGTAAACTTTAAGGATCATTGCCCATGTCCATGCAGATTCTCAGCCATCTGTTTTACTCTAGTGGCACTAACAAGCATCCTGCCATGGAAAATTACTGCATTCAACTTGATAACAGCTAAGGTTGATTTCATGGGTGTTTGGGAGCTACATGTTTCTGTATTTTCTGAAAGAAATCTAAAGCAGATATATGGGTCACCAGCCCTGTCGGAAGCCACCTCTTAGCCACAGCTTAGCCAGAGTGTTCACTGATGGGCAGAATGCTGGATTTCACCAAACTGTTTCCCAAGGGCAATAGTGATTTCAGGCACTCACCAGTGTGCCAGGGATAGGAGCAAACCCTGGAGACCAGCCCCTAATGTTGCCTCAACCCTTCGATGCAAGGCACTCTGAGACACTTCTGTGGGCAAGGTAGGCCACTGAAATACATTCAATGTTCTATTACAGAATAACCTGACCTACCTAGACCTGCTTGAAGCAGGTGGCTGGACCTAGTGACTTTCAGAGGTCCCCTGCAAACCACATTTTGCCTCAAACCCTTGGTCAATGAGGGTGCAGAGCACAGTGCTGGAGGTGCCTTGTGCTGCTTGACTGCACCTCATGGGATTGGTAAGTGCAGAAAAACTGCAAGCTGGCAGTCAAGGAGGATGTGGCTGCTCCCCAGGAATGAGAACATCCTGTCACCTGAGGAATCATCTTAGCCCCAGCAGGGCTAAGCCCCAGCACAGTGGGTGGCCCCGGTACTTACACTTTGTACTGCACAAAGTAGAGCGCATCTCTCGCCTCTCTGGCCCACCCAGGCTGCCAATGCAAAGTGGTGTTGAAATTTAACGAATGGAACTCTACCTTCTGTGGCTTAATCGAATCTTGCAGGTCTTGGTTTTCCAAAACTAAAAGCGCTGCAGATAAGAAGGAATGATAATATAACGTGTTTGTCACAGGCACACTCCTCCATACTGGAATCAGAGGGTATTGCTGCAGACCGTTTTGTTTCATGCCTAGCAGACCATATGGAAATGAAATTTCCTGGATCTCACATTCAAAACTTTCCAAGGCACGAAGTCAAGCAGTTACAGAAGAAACACATTTAGAACTATGAAAGGAATACTTTTATGTGGTCTGAGTGAGGTGGGGTTTTTTGCTGTTTGTTTTAGGTTTGTTTGTTTGTTGTTATTTTGTTTTCCTTTTTCTTTTTTGTTGTTTTTTTTGTATATTTTTCTTTAGTGAGTTTGCTGCTGTGAAAGATGCCTCATGCATATCCCAGGAAAGAAACCTTTCAAATCTGTTCACAGAGTCTGCTGAGAGCATTCCCATTAATACTTAAAAGTCAAGTGCTCTTTGCATCTTTACTCCACAACTCAGCTTTAACCTGAAGAGATTATAGCTCTTTTAACTGTTGCCACAGTCATGGTTACCAGCTCCTGCCTAATAAACAACAATCTGAAATTCACTTCTTTTCCTGTCTGTACCACTGGAAAAGCTGTCTGACAGTTTTCAAGATCTTCTCTTTTCAAACTGCTATATTATTTACAACAGATTCAGTTAACAACCTCTGAATCATTCAAGCTCTAATATTTTTGTGGGTTTTGTAACTCAGATGACAGCAGCTTTTACCCTGACATAGAACAGAATCAGGTAAGATTTGTACTGGCTGCTGGAACTGGTAATACAGCCATGAAAAAAATCTAATGGGCAACACATTCCTTTTATCTGCATTTCAGAACCTGGAAAGATAAAATAACAAACTAATTTGAAATTGACTAGCTTTTGAAACCCACCAAAAGATACAGAGATTTATTAACTCATCCAAAAATTCATTAACAAGCCCTGTCCTCCCACCCCCCCCTTCCCTTCCCATACAGGAAAAGAGCAAAAAAGCCCTTACTTACAAGTTGTCTCATCCTGAAGCATATGCATCAGTAAGCAGAGGAAGGAAAACATGATTCTCCTCATGCTTAGGAGAGCAGCTCCATGACTGAAAAGCACCTCTCTTCCTCTTGGGCATGTCCTATGAGGAAGTAATTGTTAAGCACTCCAGAGTTCCCCTTATTTTCAGTGGTTTCCAAATTCCCCGGTTTGGCTTTGGTTTAATTTAGCTGAAAACATATGAGTAGCTCTAAATTAAACATGAGCAATTGTTCTTTCTTGGCAGTTGTGGTCATGTAGAATTTGGAAGTAATTATGAACTAAGCCATTATGAAAAATGTCCTTTTTTAAAGACACTAATTCCCAGATGATATCTGCCAATATTGCTTTACCTGATAAATTTGTCACAGAAGCTTTCTTGCTTGCTTGCATTTCTTAAAAAATACTGGTATTTTAAATATTTATTAAATATTTATTTATTTATTTATTTTCAACTCGAGTTGCTCAAAGCTGAACACAGGAAATTTTGCTCCAAAGATATAGAAGACCTACCCATGGGATGTGCTTTGGGTTTGATGGACTGCCTCTGGGCCAAAAGCAAGAGATGAAGTTTGCAGGTGTGCTGGTGGCAGGACATCATCTAGGGGGCTGTCACTGGAGGAAGGAGGGACTGTGAAATCACTTCTGGCTGTTGGGCAGCACATTCCCCATGATGGCTGCAGGAGAGATGATGGGATGCTGTGGAAGTTGCAGGACTGAGCTTCCAGACTGGAATTAGGAAGGTAAGCCCAGCCCAGAGGGCAAAGTGCCACTCTGGGTTGGACTTTCAGACTGCTCGGAATCGTATGCCTCAACTGCTGCAGGTGTGCTGCAACACTGTCAGTGTTATCCTCTGGATCCTGCCTGCCCAGTATGCACATCCCTGCAAGCTTGACCCCAGGGCTGGGGATGCTGGGGCTCTCTGGTGAAAAAAATCTCACTTTGTGCTTGCAAATGCTTTAATGCCACATGCATGTCTGCCTGGTGGGAGATGAGCTTTGTGTTCCTGGGATGTGTGGAAAGCTTAGACGATTTGGTTGCTGGTGGTGAACGTGGTGCTACTGCCTAGCCTTGCCCCTTACTCTTCCCTCCCCAAAAGCTCCCCGATGCTGACACCCACTGGTACTTCACTGCTCATACACTAGTGGGACTAAGCAAAAGTCAGGATATTTTCTCTTTTTACAAACTCATGATGATAAGCAGAAGGAGAAAAATGCTAATTTTATAAGACTTTGTGCAGCCCTGTGCAACAGCTTCCACAAAAGGAGTAATGGATGTGAAGTCTACCTGTCTAAAACCAAATAATTTTCATGAAATCATCTTTACTTTGGGAGAAGGTGGAAACAGAAGACTTGTCAAGTCTTGCACAAAAAAAAGTGCAAGTTCTGGTTCAAATGAACTTATTTAAAGGCCACCAGTTATACTGAGCAAACTGAACAACATTTAGTCAGGAAGCTGATTTTGGTTAGATAGATGGGCACAGGGTCTCAGTTCAGCTGATCATTTATACCTCATTATACTAACACCAAACCTGCCCCATATATAGTAAAACGCTAACTGTGTAGCTTTGAATAATGAATTAGTCAAACAAATCAAGGGAATTAAAGAACTGAGAAAAAAATGAAGGAATGAAACCCCACCAAAATGAAGGCAGAAGTCAGAAAGTCTATCTCTGGCTGCAGATTGTTTATCTATCCATTTCCCAATGGAAGTGGATAGATAAAAAAAAACTTTAAATCATTTATTTACTTTAAATAGTTTCCCATGCCAAATTCAATTAGTATTTCATCATGTTATATGACCTCAAGTACGGGAATAGGAATTTTCACAAACCAATCACTAGACTGAAAAGTCATCAGTGTTTAGTCACAGGTCATGTATTTGTTTACTTGAATTGTACACACCTTCTCATACCCCAAGAAGCAGCCCATTGCCAGGAGCTGAAGTGTGAACCTTTGTCCAAGTTCCTTTTGATGCTGGTTCCTCCTAGGACAGCAGAGCTGAGGCCCAGCCTGCTGGCACCAGTGGGTTTTGCTCAGAAAAGGCTGCTGTGCCATGTGGTGAGATGGGGCAAGAAATGCCTGTCACATGGGTGCTGGAAAACACCCAGGGTTTCCTGTGCACTGCACTCTGATAGTGTTTTATCTGCCGCTGGGCTCGGCATTCTGCAGCAATCTCTCCACGTAATTTCTGCTGGCATTGGAACAGCCGCTGTTGCAATAGCAGCTATGAGCACCTGTGCTACTCATTGGCCTCAGTCATGCTGCTTCAGTGCCTTGTGTGATAAAGTCACCACAGTCAGAAGGACCAGCTGCACGCACACACCCAGACATGTACACACATATATGCCTGGAGTTTCACAGAATATGTATATAGTGCATACACAGTGTATATATAGTGTATATAGCACATTTCAAAATGTAAACTATTGAGGAACACAGGATGATTCACACTGCAATGCTATTTAAAATATGAGAACTTTTGTAAACAATATTAAGGCTACTCTGAACAGTACATTATGAAGAAGTGGAAAGTTAAAATGCATTATGTAGCCCAGCAGAATCCACATAAGTAGTTATGCTACTAGCTCATCCTAGCTTACACTGCGGCATCTTTCTGATCCAAACCACTGTGAAACAGCAGAACTGATATTTTTGTGTATGGCCATGCGTATGAGAATTTTTTCCATTGCTGGAGTAGAAACATACTGAATGCTGGGTAAACAGCTTTCTTTCTCTTGAGGACAGATTATTGCTACCCAGTGGTAAAAGTCAAGTACATTTTTGCTGAAAACTACTTGACTAATTTAATTTGGAAGGACCACCTCCTTGTTACTCTTTTCTTTTCTTTTGCCCTCGAAAGAGTTGTTTCCCATACATAAGAGGAGAAAATGTAAGCCTGAAACAGCTACTGTAGCATGACCTTTAGCTTTTCAGATGCGAGTGTGGTATTTGCAGTGGGTGTGAGGGTGGGTTTTGCTTACATGCCTGGATGAGGATGAGGGACGATGAAGAAAGCATACCCAAAGTATACAGGGAATACTTCTAGCCACTGCCAAGGCAAGGCACTTGTGACATTTGACATAAAAATAAGTGAGCGGTTTGTGTTACTCTAGACCTAAAGACTATTTGCAATTGGAACCATAATTTTCAATCTTTTCTAAACAGCCAGTGTGCACTCAGAGGAAAACCTGTCTTCGGAGGGGACTCTGGAGGTCATCCTGTCCAGCTTCAGCACAGGGATAGTGACAATTTTATCCCATAGTTAACCATCTTTAATGTGAATTTCCTCCTGCATATCCTAGTGGGATTCCTCTGCTGCAATTTATGACAGATTTTTTTGTGGTTTTACTGGGAGCTTCAGACAAAAATCTGCTATTTCTGCAAATATTACAGTTGGCAATAGATCTCTCCTGAGTGCCACCTCTCCTGGCTGGAGGGATCCAGCTCCCTCAGCTTCTTCTGGTGTATCATGTGCAGCAGGACAGCCCTTCACCAGCTCAGTGGGGATTGGAAAAGTGAATCACTACACTACACAAAAATTAAAATGAAAGCAAAGAAAACCCCTACAGTGAGGCAGGAGGGACTTTTTGGATTGTTCTTCCCTGCTCTGTAGGGAAGAGACATTGTGTCACACGAGTTCTTACAGAGAAGTTGCTGAGGAAGCAACACAGACTTTCACTGCACAGTGTGTGCCTCCCCTGCACACAAACTTCACCTCTCACTATTAAAGAGCCTGGGTCAACATTTTAAAGATTGCAGTTCGAAATTCCAATGCTGTAGCTGCATCTACATAGGGAGACTTTTGACCATATTAAAGATGAGTATCTGCTGAAGACTCAAAAGTAGCAAGTCATGATTTGCACATGCAGTATTTATTTAACAATGTGCAACACACTGACTTGACCGGGAAGTTAGTAACCAACACTAACATTCATTAGGAACTGAAATTAACACCAAACCCCAAAATAGCTCCAAGTCTTTCATTTAAATGACAAGTTCCCTTAAAATTGTCCATTTTTCTCACTTGAAAAGCCACAGAATTTTATTTTTTCCTACCACTAAGGAAAAAATAAAATTAAACAAGCTGTATCTTGTTTAATCTCATCAAGACACACTTTTTAGGTTGTGCATCCCTCACCAAATCACCTGCAGACAAACTACCAACTTGGAGACACATGAAATATTCCAGAATTTGTTGGTTTTTATTATGTAATTTTCATAGCTAGTAAAGATGCCAAGTGCTCACTTAGCCAACAGAACTCATAGAACAAACATTGCTCATGCTTTCTTGGTCCACCTACTAAAGTAAAGAAAGGTTCAATTCTGGTAGTGCCAATGCTCTCTGACACACTACCACCAGAGGCAGCTGAGGCAACTCCTGATATATTAGTAGGATATGACTCACACACTGATTTTTTTTATTTATTAATTTTTTTTTTTTTTTTTGGTAGGGAGTGGTTTGAAGCCTCTGCATCTAATCACCAGGTCCAGACCACACTGGGCTGACTCAGCACATGGCACAATGGCAAGGGGTTGGCAAGCCTGCACTTGGGAGAAGACACACAGAACTGGGATGCCTGCCTTCATATTTGTCATCAAAAATTGGGCAGCAGAAGGAGCAAACACATCTGGTAGCTACTTCGGACAATAAAACCTGGAAAGATGCAAGTTCCAGGGGTTTCCCTGGCCAAGGAAAAAATAAATAGAAGGAAGAAAAAAAGAGAATCTGCCCTTCACTCATCTCTTCTGCAAGGAGAAATTTGCAAGCATCACACTTTCTAGCCTGTGGCTCAGTTCTGTGATTGTCTTTTGAATTCTCAGTATTATTCTCCATCATCCAAGAAATGCAAACTCTAGACCAAGGAGTCCATTCTTACAATGATCTTTACCACCACTGTCTCCCAATACCTACTGTATTTGTATACACACTGTTTTACAAGCCTTTTTTGTTTTCCTTCATAAATACAATGCTGAAAATCTTGTGTGGATAGACTCTGAGCATACAGGAATTGGCATTCTGAGGTTTTCAGGACAGGACCCTTCACACTTAACTGGTTTTCACACTTCTCAGAGGTGTTAGTTTCGAGTCCACTGCAACATGACTGTTAAACCAGTAAGATCACTTTGTGATTCTTAAAGACAAAAAAGCTTTGTTCCATATTTGTCTTAAATGAAGTTTAGTGTATCTCAAAATTGCTAGTTTTGCTGCACACGCTGAAGCAATTGACAAATTAATTCTTTGTAATTTACCATCCAAATTCATAGTACTTTATTGCAATTACTAGTCAGATTTGGGGGGTAAGTATGAATTAGTACTGTAGTAAAAGCTGATACAAGGCCAGACTGATACTTGAAATGAAGCCACGTGGAAGAAGGGACTGAGAAGTGACATAGCTGCTCTCTACCTCGTTACCACTGCCCTCTAGCCATTCAGGCAAGCCTTTGCAACCCTTCCTTCCTTGTTATAATTTATCCCACACTTGATCACATTTGCAGCAAGTTAGCACAGGCCCAAACCTTGTAGCAGAAAACACACAACAATACATACAGTTCCTGTCTTCTGGAATGGATCTGCACAAACCCTCCACCCTTCCTGCTAATAACTGAGCTGCTATAAACTTGGAAAATGTGCCAAAAAACAGACATGCCCAGAAAGAAAATAAAGTGAATTGATTTTTGTTCTTTTTGCTCTGTATTTTCAGTCTGAAAGGATTGTATTTACTCTCTTTGAAAGGGCATTTTTGAAAGGATGTTAAATTTTTGAGTTTGTTATTCAAGCGATGTCAGCACAGAAAAAAAAAGCTGTATCAGAGTCAGTACTCTTTACTGCTGTACTGTGCACATTGCAAGGATTTGACAACTGCAGGATTAATTTTGCAGGACAGAGCAAGCTGGCAGGCAGAACCTCTTGGTTTGCCTGCTCATTGTTTGCTCTGCTTGTAATGCTTTTCCTCTTTCAAGCTGTGGGTGGAGAGCAGAAATTAAAACATCACACAAATAAGACTTCTGTGATCTTTAAACTTCTAATGAACAGCAGTAAGTTCCAAGGATGGCCAGCTTTCCTCGCTCTGTAGCAATGAATCCATTCAAATGATTTGACTATTTAATCCTTGTCCATAATTTTAAAACAGAACATAAGGGAGCAACCCCAGGCTGCATAGGACTGGACTTATGTTACTGCAGGCTGCATCACCAGCGTCAAAGGGCAGAAGAGCTGCAACACCAAGGATGAAGATGGTCAGCAGGATCCAGGAACTGGCTGCACACGTACACACACACAGGTGGGCCACACACATCTCTGCCAAACAATGTTTTGATTCTCAAAAAAGCTCAAGCATACACTATGTAAGAAACATGAACTGAGAGCTTCAAAAGCATATTTAGTCTTCAGAACAAAATAACAGTCATAAAGGGGCAAGGACACACAATTTTCTTCTTAGATTTTTTTTTTTTAATTTACATATAAAAACATTTAAACTGTACAGTATTTACAGGAATTTCATTACAGATTTCAGCCCAATGATGGCATCCATTTAGAGAAAGACTATTAATAAACAAGAACTTCATAGTTAAAGGACTTAACTATAAAAAAAAACACACTAAAGGAATCTACACAGGTCACCTTTCCCTGAGATAAAAGGTGCTTTGTGTTTGGTTTGTCATTTTGGTTGTGTGTTTTTGCTTTTTGGGTTTTTGGTATTTTTAAGACATGCTGAAACTATTAATTTGAGCCAAGTACAACATCTCTTACTTATTAATACTCAGCTGTTTCCATGGAATGACTTCAGAGCAACTGGTTATTCCTAACCCTGAGAAAAACGGGTTTTCTCATGCAAGTTTCTGTTTCTGTAATCTTCTATGAAGGATAAAAAAAAAAAAAAAGTGATTATGTTCCAGGCAACTGTCTTGCTTCTACAGATATCAGAAGATTTGGCAATTTTTTTTTAAACTATATTACTGACTTCTGTGGAAAACCACACAAAAGCAATTTTCTGTTTTTGAGCCAGAACACAGTACTGCCACAATACTTCATTGTTAACCGCAGATCTAATAATAAAAATTACAATGTCCACTCAAGAACAAGAACCAAAGAAGTTCTTAGAAATGCTGGCACGTAAGAGGGCAAAATAAAGTTCTCTTTCACAGGATATAAGGTTTTGGAGTCTTATCTTGACACCCAAATCATTTTGAAGTGAAAGGAAGGGAGGACTGCTAAGCAGCCAGGACAAGAGTAAAAATCAGCTCAAAAGGTTTGAAGTGGCAAAACCTTATAAAGGTGTCATACTGGATAGCTGATAAAAGGCATGAATTTTAAATTATTTTCAATGTATAAATGTTAGACACTTCCATATTCTGGATCAAGGTGCTATGTATGAATATTCAGAAGCTCAAGCAAACTGCTTCATCACAAGAATATTAATCAATTAAACTCAGGTACCTGACAGGTTGCCAACCACATTGCTCAGATATTTGGTATTGCAGAACTGCAAAAGCAAGGCTAACTAGCTGGGAAGGCATTTCCATTCCCATCCCAAGAAATCCTCACACTGAAAATTGCTGGACTGTATCCAAATGGAGATTACCACCATGACTTGCCCTACTCTTAGGCTTTCAACACCAGTGCTGGCAACTGCTAAAAACAGGACTGGTGGTAACAGAGCTTACTGACCCAGAAACACATCTTGTCTCACTCTGGCCTTGCATTTTCAGCTAGACACAGCTAGTAAAAGAATCCTGTGCTTTGTGCACCCTTAAACTTCCTTATTTCAGAACTACAAAAGCTGTAAGCTGGCCTGAGCAATTTAGACATCTAAACTATCCCTGTGCCACTAGGTAAGTATGCAGCACACACAACACAGTCTGCAGGGATGGTGCAAGTTCATTGGCTTCTGTATTTACAGTTCAGGAATTTTGATTAAAAAGTACATTTAACCTTGTTTTATTTCAAGAGCAGGTCTGTTGTACATATATGTGACATAGTAAAAAGCAGTCATACTGCTGTTCTTGATTTTCAGCTTCTAAAATAACACCACCTTTCCAGTAAATGTGACTATCTGCCATGACAAATATTTCCCATATATTATGATGTATTTTTGTGTAATTTCTTATTTAACATCACTGTTCTTAATGATACCCTAGCTCCTGGCTGGGTCCTTTTACTCACATTTGACTTCATGGGATTTGAAATATTCAGAAGAATGTACAATGTAGTTGTATTGCAGGGGTAAAAGAAAAGAAGCTGAGATAGTCAGCTTGTTTTTAAAATGTGTCTATCTGCATTCCTCTTCCACTGTGTCAGCAAAGGAAGATCTTCCAGAACAATGGAAACACTTAGCTCACACAAATCTAAGATGCTAAGTCTTAGTTCTAACAGCACCAGTTTCCTGATACACTGCTAAGAATTTTTAAAAAATTACATGCTTCTGACGAATATTGGTTTTGTGGCAGATACATCAAATCCAACAACTGCCAGAGCTAATTCCTGACACTCCTGGGCAACATCAACATTTTATTTCTTTTATTGACAAAACTAGCAGAAGGAAAACAAGCAATCAAGTGCAAGGTTAAATACTCTGTAGTTGCAAAGTCAGCAAATTGTCTGGTCAGAAACTTCTTCCCAAAAAACAAGACTAACTTTACAGTTTTTAATGTTCTCTTTATCCCTCCAGAGCCAAGTTAAAAATTAAACACTTCTCTGGCATTTATAAATTCCTGAGGTATTTATTGCAATTCATATTCATCAACAAACCTCCAAAATCAGAAAGAAATTACATCAACTCCAATTTCTTCACAAGACACAGCTGCTCATCTACTTTGTAAACAGCCTGCTAGGAGCTTCAGTGATGAACCACATCACTACCTGGAAAGTCAGTTTAGTTGAAGTTTCAAGTGCAATTAATGCCGATTTTCAAAAAGCCTTCTTGTAACACCAAGAGTGTTATTTTCTGCACCTCTGCCATGGGAAGACCTACACCCTAGTGCATCCTAAGCAGTAAGTCACTAAGCATTGCCTTCTAGGAACTCAACCCAGAATATGACATTGAAAAAGCTGCTAGGGGGTCTCATTATGTTTGAATAAAATGCAGAAACAAATCACAGCCAGCTAACAATTACTAACTGGGCTTTCCATGACATTGTAACTACAAAATTCACCTGCTTGATTTGGCTTTTCCTAAAGTTATCAAAACCCTGGTAAGCAATCTGTTACCTTCCTGTGAGTAGTGATGGGAAAAATACTGTCTTTAAATCTTTTGTACCATTGTGGTCAATATCTGATATATAGAAGAATGGACACACTCCCAAAACTGCTGTATAAACTAACTTCACTGTAAGAATACTCATGTCACTGAGAAATATAAAAGAAGCACTATGACACTGGTTTTCCTTTTAAAACCACCTGCTGTTAACAGGCTAACAATTCTGATAATCCTATAGAAATGTATTTTAAAACAAACCCACAATTTTGGGCAAATGAACCAACTTGTACCCGTAAAGTGTTCTTTTTTCCTGAACTAAACTTCATTAATAATTGCTATAAACATTTCCAACAAACAGAAAATACCTATCAAATCTTGATTAAAGGGAAATAAATGGATTGCATGGATTTCAATATGAAAAAATATAAAAATATAAAATTCTTATTCCTCAGTTTTCAAAACTACAACTCTACAATACAAAATTCAGAAGGCTGTCAGATGACAATAAAACTTTTGACAATAAAACTTCATCACACTATTTTCGATTGTCTTGAGACATATTTTTAGAGGGTGATTTTACGTAGATCCCAAGTTATGTTATTTAAATGGGGAAAATAGCAGTGATTTTCATCCTGCTAGAAAACATGCTTGGAAGAAAATCTATTAATTTCTGGTGAGAGAACATATGGTTCTAAAAATTAGGACAAAAGCGTCCCAGAAGAAACCAGGCTTTTGAATTTTGAGGACATTTTCTAAAGAATTTGTGCAACCACCCATTAGACTTTTTTTTTTTTTTTTCATTTATGATCAGTCAGCTTGCTAATATATTCTGCCAGAATGTGACATGGCTACTCAAACCACTAGGTGTTCATGGGTGCTGCTGTGCTGAAGTTAACAGCAAAGACTACAAATAACTGGTACTTTCACAGAATTGTTAGGGTTAGAAGGAACCTCTGGAAATCATCCAGTCCAACTTGCTGGCAAGGCAGGGTCACCTACAGCAGGTGACACAGTTCAGGTGGGTTTTGAATGCCTTCAAGAGGGAAACTCCAGGATCTCCTTGGGCAGTCCCTTCCAGTGTTCTGCTACCTACCCTCAATGCAAAGAAGCTTCCTCTTTGAATGTTGAGGTGAACTTCTTTTGTTCTTAGTTTATGGCCATTACTTCTTACATCTTTGCCATGGAATAAAATTCTTAAAATACACAGGAACAACTTATAGGCATAATCTTATTTAAAAGAAATAAGAGCATTTAATTTAATATAAAAATACTCTTCAGAAGAAAAAGATAAGCAAGAGGATACCTTCAAAAATGGTAAAAACTCTCAAACATTTCTTGCACATGTCTCTTATAATCAAGTGAAGGATTTCTTAAGCATTATGTTCATTGAACTTATTTTGAACAAGACTTGAAGCAGAAGTGAATAATGGTACACCTGCTGTTTTATAGTCAATGGTATGTCTTCTATAAAGTATTGTTAAAAAACGCAACACTATTTCAAATAGGAAAAAATGAGTTATATAATATATAAAAGCATTTTTAAAAGTGGTTATTACGGATTTTCCCCACTCTTTTTATGCCATTTTCAAGTACTATCTTCAATTGTTTACTGATCAGAACAAGTACAACTTAGTACTTGTTAACCTAGTCTTTCCATAACCTTCAGTAATGATGTTCTTTCTCAGCTGTGGCGAAGCACTGCAGTTACCTTGGCTACTCAGTTGGCCTGTAAGCGTTCACAGGCTGTTCTTCACCAACATCTATCATCAACACATCTAACGGAACGTGAGGCTTGTCATAGCCAGAAAACTTGAAGCAGCTGCTTGGAGTGACTGTTGGCTGTGTTTCTGTGGTAGAAATCTCCGAATCTGAAGACTTACTGCATACATCCACTTGGCTACTGTTAGAAATGAAGTAACTCTCTTTTACTTCGCAATTTTGTTCATCAGTATCAACAGAGACCTCCTCTGTGCTTTCCTGAATAGGCACCTCCTCTGCTTTGGCTGGTGCCTCTGGGGAAGGGACAGAAGATTCTCCATCGCAGGAATTCACAGGACTAACAGTTTGTTCTTTTGGCTCTATCTCCAGCAAGGTGACTTCACCAATCACTGGCAAATCTGAGAGGCCTGATGTTACAGATATATACTTCCCCTCTGATCTTGGTCCCATCAAGGCACCTGTGTTCAGGTTTCTCATCACACTGACCTTAAATGGGAAAAAAAAAACCAAACAACTTTGAGTTTAAAATTTGGAAAAATATTTAAGTTGATAATAACAAATTTAACATCATTTTAACCAATTCCAAAACAAAACAGCAAAATTAAAATCGGGCAGAGACACTGGCCTATGTCCGTAAGTTTAACTTCTAGTAACACTTGTATGCAAGCTCTCAAAAATGCTTTCTCTGGGCAAGCATATTTGCAAGGATCAAATCCATTTCATGTCACCCACTATACTGTGCAGTTTCCAATGTAGAGGAGAACAGCAAAAGACAACATAATACTCTTCAGCTGGGGAAACCTTTCATACTCTATAGCTAATGAGTGTAACTTACAGCGCCTGTGATAATTTCTGGTATCTGTCTTAACCAGGAGGGAAGTGGACAACACACCCAGTAACTATGCTGAAGTCTCTCATCATACTTCACAGAGCCAATAAGCAGTCTCTCAAGGCTGCAAATTTTCATGTTTCACTTTGAAAACCCTCCACAGGTTGGTAATATGAATTCTTTCAATGGCCAGGCCCCAGCTTGTTTTAAACATTTACAATATGCCTTCAAGCTGCTTAATATTAAATTATTTTAAAAATTTAGACTTTTTTTAATATCTTTTCAAGAGTACATACAAATAAAAAACAAAGTAGAGTAAATTTTCAGCTATTTGATAGTGTTCCCTAAAGATAATAGAACACCTAGGGAGAAAGAGTTAATAATGTTCTTTCACAAATTTTGTAATTCACTATGTTTGTGTATCACACAATATCAAGTATTATAGATCCATGAAATTCTTAATAAAACACACAATCACTGTTTTTTCAGATACTCTGTAAAAAAAGAAACTGTCTGAAAATTCAGATGATGCTAATCTGGAAGAAAGAGATGTATACAGGAGAAGGAAAGACAAAGTAAAATAACAATAAGAAAAATTACAAATAGATACAAAGAACCTCCTGGTCTGTACTAGTGTAAAAACTGAGAGGGCCATCAAAACCAGATGATCCAACCTGACTCTGTTTTTCAAGAGTCTTCGCTGATTTAAAGGTTGTGAGACTGTAGCTTTACATTCATGCCTTCAGAGTGTGCTGACTTCATTAGAAACTCCTTTCATCTCTCACTTCAGTCTGATTGTCTTACCCCTCAGTAGCCCTGATACCTGTTGATGCTACTCTGTGGCTAAGGCTGAAGCTATAAAAGCATTACAATTAAGGAAAACCAACCAGCCAAACAACACCACAGGTCAAGCAAACAGTCCCTGATGAGCCGTTACCGGTCATCTAAATTAGTTTTACAAACAGCTGTGTGAACATCACTAAGGTGAGGAAATCCCCTAAGGAATCAAGGGATGCCACTGGGAAGTGCATTCAGGTGGTTCCTAGCACACTTCAACTAGCTGACACTCAACCATCAGTATCTCTGGAGCTTCATTTTCTGTTTTGGAAACAGAATACTACATAAGGAATATTCAGAGTAATTTTCATGAAAATTCAGGGAAATGCTTAAAAGTTAGTTGCAAGTAACAGATTACAATCAATAATGGGCATATACTGAAAATATTAAGAGCACCTTAAAGGATTAATGTACTTTTTGAGAATCTCTTTATACAGGTTTATTGGATATATATCCAAAATATTGGGTATTTATGCTATACAACACTGATCTTGAAGGGGCCAGCATCTATAGTTTTTTGGGATGGGGATTAGCAAACATCTGACTCCAATACTCACCTATATAATAATAATCAGCATGTGACAAGAGAAGGTAATTCTCTGTGTAAGGTGGAATACTTGAGGAATGTGAATTACAACAAAGTATTACAGAAACCATGGTCAAAAGCTGCATTTTCAGCTTTCCATCTCTCCCCATACTAGTACATGCTAAACTAAAGTAAAAAGCAAAACCCAGTCAGTTCTTGTTTCTATCCTTTTAGGATTTTCACAGAGCTCTAAAAAAAATTCACAGTCCTAAAATCTGTTAAGGGATCACCTTGCATTCTACACAGGTCTGGCATTTCACAGTGAGTGCCGGAAATAATACAAGACTTTGGGGATAAAATACATACTCTTGGTACAACTACATCTAAGACTTCTCAAAAATGGAAGTTTTTCTCTTGACAAGTTTCTGACCAAGGCAAGATGGTGCAAAGACACTCCTATTCCCATTCATGAAAGAAGGAAGTGTTCAGAAGAAAAAACTCCTATGTGTTTCCCGGTATCAAAGATTTTTTAAAAGTCACTGAGTCATGACTACAAGACAATTCAGCAACTCATGCAGTTGTTTCTAGCTTCAAAGATAAGAATCAATTTATTACAGTAACTGAATTCTTATTACAGTAACATTTAAAAGATCTTAAGTAACAAGTGTAATTAAGATATGGTTGCTATTTGAAGTACTTACTATAGCTAATATTTTTCTTTTATTCACATTACCTAACAAACTGACAGCTAGTGATGGGTATCAGCAATATTTCCTGGCATGTGCAGGTACTCATAACTTCCCATCTCAAATAACAGCACTTGAGCTTTCAGGTCTTTCACAGTCTCAACAGACTAGTGAGACACACTGCTGAAAGTCAGGCTCAAGGGCACAGCTAAATAACATAGCCCAAGGAATCCATAACAGTTAAGGTAATTACCAATTCTTCCTTAACTTCCTTTTCTAATGATGGGTCCACCTATGAATTCCAAGTAATTTTCAGGTGTACATTTCATGAAGGAGAGTTTCCATTTGAGCCTGCATTTCAAACTCCATTTCAAACTCCATTAGCATGATGTCAAAAATATTCATGGTCTTTGCATGGTTCAACAAAACATTAATGCTATGTAAATTTATAAAGAGAAAACTATGTGACTGCCCCCTAGAGATGCTCTCAGGGGAAAAAAAAACTTCACAAAAGAAATGAAGCAGCTTCTCTCTTGTAAGATAACAATTATTGGTGGCAAATATCAATCAATATTTACAGGAACAATTAATTTTTCCACATCAAAAATATATGTTGTATACCAAGAAGAAATAGAGCTGCAAATAAAATTCCCAAGCGTTTTCTGAATATCCGTAAGTGTTCTACAAAGAGAACAGCCTTGTCATTCCTGTCAGAACCAGAAAAAGCACCAGCAGAAAACAGAAAAGTAGGCTTAAGTAAGACTCAACTTTCACTTTTCTCTTGACAGTAGATGTTTTCTACTCCCAAAAATATTTGCCACTGTTCAAAGATTAAAGACACTGAAGAAAAAGACAAGGAAGTTAAAGCAGAGAGAGAGATGACCACAGCTCATCAGAAAATTATGGCCAGGTTCCTTTAAAAGTGGGTAAGCCCTTATCACAAATCTTAGAATAAAAATCTAGTACAGGAATAGCCACAGGACATGCAATGATTGAAGACAATGGGTAATAAAAGACAACCTCCTGCAATACTTTTTGTGAGATAAATGAAAAGGAGTTTTAACTACAGCTGAACTGCTGAAACTGATTCCTTTGATCCACGCAGAAGGCTAACACAACATCTTGTAAAGGAATCTGTCCCATTTCACATATGGCTGTTCCTGGTAGGATCCTACCGTTTATAATGATGTTTAAACATTTAAAAAAACATGTTTTCTGATGAAGACAATCAGTCATTGCCTGTATCAAATGACAGCTGCACTGTGGAAGTAGGACCAAGACATGACTGATATGTAATTCTTGGGAGTCACAAACAGCATAGAAAAGACAGTATAAAAGCTCTGGAGCTCTAATTGACAATGGATTTTTTTTCCCGTTCTCTGAGTATGTAAGACTCACAAAGGTAGCTGCTTAATGGATACTCTCTCTTATTTTCCCTTCTGTTGGAAAATTCCAAGTTGCTGGAAGTCACTCAAATGATGTTTTAGCATTGACTTAAAGGTGCCAGGAAGGAGATCACAGAAAATTAGCAGTCCTAAGGCAGGAAATCTTGTCCAGCCTTGTAACAGATGGAAAAACTCCCTAGATGTTTTATTTTCAGACAAGCTCAGGTAAGGCACAATGATCATAACCTGTACAGAAAGAAATGCCTAGTACATATTCAAAGGTCAGTGACAAGCTCCAAGTGCCATTAAGTCTATAGAGATAATGGCATATAATTAAATGTATCATTCATATTAATTAAACTGTTTGTTCATTACTTTAAATTATTAACCATAAAATAATTAGGCTTAAGTTATTAATTGCTCATTTTACATTCCCACAGTATTTACATTATCTGTATTTGAACTACCTCTATGGCCTCTACAACTTATATTTGTCATTAGAGACTTCATTGGAAATGGACAGAAATACAGAATACTCCGATTTGGAAGGGATCGACAAGAATCGGTGTCTACTTCCTGACTCCACCCAGGGCAACCTAGGAGTTAAACCACACAGATCATGGGCCAAATGCTTCTTGAATAGGATTTGGGCAGTGACCACTTCCCAAGGAAGCTTGTCTCAGTGCCTGACCACGTAGCTAACAATATTTATAAATAGTTATAGGCTTTATTCAGCTCCTTAGCAATACAATATGATGTAGCACGTCAACCATACTGCGGTACTGGAACCTAGGAACCACAAAGTAACATCTAGCCCAGTAGAATGAGAATATGGGCATACACATGAGCTTCTAGAAGGTGAGGTCAAGCTGGAGCATGCATCAGGAAGCTCACAGGTGTTAATAAGAAGCACACATTCTATTTGTGATATTGTTTCATGATCTTTTAGAGGAGGTATCACAATGTTACTGGAAAGGCAAAATAAATATGAATCCATTGAGCACAGCACTGCAATCCTGCATGAAACATCTTTTGCTACAATGAATGGTCTTCACAGAAATTACTTCTGTGTGTACACAGGACACAAAGTTACATATTCAGACAAGTGCACACTGGTGTGAACATGACAAGTCATCTCCAACGTCCGCTTTGATATTGGGGCCTACCTGCAGATGTCAGAGAGGTTTCTTTCATCTGATTTTTTAAAGTCTACAGTGTGAATGGCTACCTCCAAACAGTCCATGGCTAATTCCATAGTCCCCTGGCTTCATCACAGTCCAGGGAAAGCAATGGGAATTTTAGAATGCATTTTGTCTGACCAAAAGTGTATGAACTAGATCACTGCTTTACTACAAAGGGACCACCTCTGGCTTGGATATCTTCATTTAGTCGGAGCAATCTCACCTCCTGATATTATATTCTAAAGAACATAGATTCCAGAGGAATCTTGGGCATTGACTATGGAGAGGCCACTTTAAAGGATTTTGAAACTGAAGATCATGAAATCAAAGATTGTGGTCTACTGTCTCCATAAATGACACTTCCTCCATGCACTGAGAAGACACCCTTGCTGTGATTTCTTTTTACTACTGTCTCAGGTGGCAGCTCTTTGAAGTTGTGTAGTTCATTCCTTGTGACTATCATTACACCTGCAGACTATTACAATAGTACTTAGGTACACCACTTTGGCCTGACATGAAACCAAGGAGTGCTGTTGCTCTTTAAGGAACACCCACTCTGTTTCCTAAGGATGGCTACAGGAAGTTTTTAAGATAGAGCAGCTGTTGACTTCTCTTCCCTGTGACTGCTGTGTGAGAACAGACTTCCGCATATCCTTCTTCCCTCTCCCTACGGAACTATTACTCCCTCCCCTTACTAAGAATACTGTAGCAATTAGCAGAATTGCCAATACTACCATTTAATGCAGGAATCTCACAGCTCCTGTGACAGGACAAAAGAATTGAGCACAAACAAACACACGGAATTTTTTCTGAAGGTAAGAAAAACTGTGAGGGTGGTGTAACATTGGAATAGATTACCCACAGTAACTGTGGAGTCTCCTTCCTTGCATGTAGTCAAAAGCTATCTGGATATGTTCATGGCTAACCTGCTCTTGCACTTGAGCAAAAGGCTTTGGGTAGACGACCTCAAAGTATCTTCTCACATCAGTGATTCTGTGGTTCTGTGTCTCTGCTACTAGAATGAACACAAACCTACCTAGGTATGCACACACTGAGTTTTTAAGAACCAAATTCTCAAACTAGATCAACTACTGCTACTTCAGTTAAAGAGAGACTGAAGTCTAGCCCCAAAAAACTAAGAGGCATCTGGTTGTAAAGGCTATCAGAGTATTAGACGGGCATAAATTCTAAATATCTATGAGACCATGATAAAAAAGTAAAAAAACCCAACCAAACCCAAGAGATAGGTATAAACATACAGTAGTTACAGAACTCACCAAAGACTTAGGCAGCTGTATGTTGTTTTTCCTTAGTTTTTTGCAGCCACAGTATACTGTCAGTACTACTGTCAAAATCCCAATAACAACACACATAATGATGATGCCATGTGTACCTAAGAAATTTTTAAAAAATCTATTAGGAATTTTGGAAAAACAAGCCACTGCTGTATAATTTTAAATAATTTTAGAAATTGTAATAGCTCAGAATGCTTAGCTGTAATGTGCAAACCTTTTTTCACTAAGGAAAACTTAAGCCATAAGACTTTATGGAGTAAATGAGAATGACAGAAGCTTTTCAGTTTATATAAACATAATCACACTTTTATATAAATAAAGGAATTCTGCAACTAATTTTTTGTTCCTTAGGAATGACAGATGGGGATAATGGTATTTGTGCACCTTCTATGTGATAGCATATTAATTGAGATAACTACACAGAGTTTATGTACAATAAAAATAAAATATGATATCTTCCAAAGCACAGAATTGTTAACAATTACAGTAGGACTCCACTAATGTGTCTCTCCTTAATGCCCTCCCTCATCCAGCTGCTCCTGTGCATTCAAGAAGACTGCTTCTATCTGTTTTATCTCTGCTGAAATTACAAGCCATGACGAAGTACAACCACAATGTTTGTAGTTAAAAATTTGGGTCACTATTTTCCTTTTGTTCTCTTTAATTAAGAAAAAGACAGCAATAATTTAATGACCATAAGCTTACAGTCACTTCCGGTTAAAAGTCTATACATATTACCCTCAGGGATGAGGCTGAGCAAAAAGCCAGTTGCTGGAACAGACAATGCCTATGAAAACCACATAGCTCAGTGAATGATCCATTTGTGATTTTTTTAATTACACCAGTGTTCATGTATAATAGAAATACGTTGTGTAATACCAACATAGGAAAAAACACCCCAAAAAATTTCAGGGTCACTTAATACAAGATTTGTAAAGGTCAGAACTGTCAAAGTGCATTTAGAAAAGATTGACTAAGCTTTCCCTACTTTTTCTATTCTCCCAAAGGCACCCCAAGCATCAAATACTTGCTAGATCAGATCTGTCTTCAGATTCAGTATTTTTTTAATATAGCATTTGAATCATCTTACTCGATGTCTGCCTGAGAGGAGCAGGAGTGCAGCTTTCCTCTGATGGAGTGCCAACCATCAGAGAATCAAAAATTCCTTTTGCTGAAACACAGTAAGTGGAACTTTCAGTAAGAACTGGGATTTTGAGGCTACACTTATGCATTGTGCAGTTGTCCTCATAGACCTCTTCAGTCTGAAAAAAAAATGGAAGACACATTATAATATCTGACTCATGAGAACAGTGTTACAGTACCTTCCACTACTTCAAAAAATGTTACAATACTATTAGATTTCCTACATCACTCATATGCCTTGCAAAAGCTGTGTGACCATCAGCTTACTGGCTACCTTAAGATGTTATATTTGATCAGAGCATAGTATCTTCCACCTAAAATTTTTTGCTGTTCATAGTAGAGATTCACATTTATAAAACTTGCACCTGGATGCAGATGAAAAGCTAACTGTAAATAAACATATCTGTTGTAATTTTCCTCACCTTCACCCTCCATGATTGCTAAATAACCTTGTATAAATACCTTGAAAGTCAATTTTCTTAAATGAAATGTCTCTTTAGACAAGTGAGAGGGGCACAAGTTATCAGTGTTTTAGCATGTATGAAGAAACAGCAGCATGTTATTAACACTTATCTTGTGTACAGTTAACTCAATAATCTAATTTTTGTTGCAAGCACTCATTTGGATAACAAAAATACAGACCTTTCATTCGCCTATCTCATTGTAAAGTGCTCAACATTTTACGTGTTCAGCTGTTTTCTTACCTGTTAGCTCCATGCATCATAGGCATAAATCCCTTGTATAAGCATTTAAGATAAACAAATGTTTTTAATTTTATTTTTAGAACCTACCTTATTTTCACTACCTTGAACAGTCACCAAGTACGCAAAATTTGAATAGATGTCTTCAATACAAGAAAGAGGGAATACAGGATGGTAAATATCAACCATGATTTTATCACCATGTCTTGAGATATTCAGTTTTGGCGGTCCTATTTTTCCTGCAACATATTACACCATTGCTATTAGGCCAAAGTTTTTAACATAAAATGTGGTATTTATTGTTAGTTTTCCAAAATTCATCAGAGATTTGAGAAGAATTACATCTTTATATCCATGCTGTGAATATTGCATAGGCATAGGTGTTGATAAGACCTCTCTGTTGCTTAGAAGTAATGGAGGCATTTGGATATCTTAACTAATCAGCTTCTAAATGGAAACAGATTTTCCATGATGAATTTAACTACTAAATAATTTAACTGTCCAACACACATAAGGCCATAAAAATTCAGCTGACAACAGAAAAAACTAACAGCAATTAAACATATACATGAACGAGAACCAAACTCAAGATCCTGCTGACTAGATCTCACCATAAATCACCTCAGTTAAAAACAATACTGCACTGAAACAAAGACTAGATGAAAAGGTAAACAAATCTCACCATGAGCACCATTTGGAAACTTTGGATTTCCCGTGGCAATGGCCTATGTGAATTTTTCGTGTCTAACAGTCTGACTGAATATAAGTTTCTTGTTCAATGGGAAAAGGATTTTGTCTCTTTTCTCCATATATGGCTACCAATTTTCTGGAAACTGCCACACAGAGCATTACCACCATGACTTGTTCCTTTTGTCAAACTACAGAAACCAGCCACTATTTCAAGTAATAGGACTGCTGAGGAGGAACAGAATCATAGCAGAAAGCACTCCACTCCTTCAGCTCCAGCAATACAGGAATAGATAGAATTCAGACAAACTCATGGGCCAGCTTCTCCCTGAAAGCTGTATGTTTGGAATGAAGTAAGCATGGGAAGAAGTCTCTCAGTCTTTCCTGACTTTGTTGCATTTCCTTTGCACTGCCTATGTAATACCAGGGCCTGCCACACTGGACTGTAGACACAAAATGTACTTTTACAGTACTGATGTTAAAAGTCTGATTTTTTTTGCAAACCAGCCTGAAGGATTTACATGAAGAACTAGTAACTTAGTTAACTAGATAACTTAGTTATCCAGTATTTATGCAGCTTTTAGTATTCCCTAGATACCGGAAGCTATCAGTACATGGCATTCTAGTGTCAAGCAATACATTGCTACTTCAGTGCTGCCTCAAGGTCCATGTTGTCTGGTGACAGTTTCCTACCCTAAACTGGTGTCTGGAACATGGGAAGAATTCAGAGTGTTCCATCACCATCACCTTCTTGCCTTTAGACATTTTGAAACAAATACTCAGACACCACAGAGTAAGAACTAGCAAGCACCATGAAGTTTCTACTAAGCAATCATCATGATTCGTTTAATCCTGGACTTCTGGCTTTAAGATATTTCAAATGCAATACAGTAACAGAACGAAAGGAATAATTACTAACTCTCCAAATATTTGCAAAAAATTACAAGGTTTAGTTTAGATACAACTTACCATGCCTTTGCAAAATAAACTCATTTGCCTCAACATATTCAGACTCTTGTGACCCAACAACAGCTTTAACTCGAAGCCAATGAGATGAATAAGGGTCACATATTTCCTCTGAGAGATCACAAAAATGAGCTGAAGTGTTCACACAGGTTGAGACATTCTTATAGTGACCTAAACTGTAAAACAGATCAAGTAATAATTAATACAATTTCAACTGCACAAGTCAGTACAATACACTACCTGTAACAAAAAACAAACTGAGCATGGCCAGGACCTGTGAGGGCACAGATTGCCCATGGAGGTTGTGGAGTCTCTTCCCCTAGGGGAATTCAAAAGTCAACTGGACATAATCATGGATGACCTGCTCAAGCAAGGGATTTGGATCAGATGACCTCCAGATATCCTTACCAACCTCAACCATTCTATCACTTGACAAATTTTCCTTTAATTTACACTTGAAAAACCTTCACCCTACATGACTTCACTGCATAGAAACCAGAGAATTTACCATGGACTGACTACTTTTATGTGCTTCTAGAGAATATCAGGTATAGAAAATAATAAAATAGTAAGAACTTACTTGTAAGGCATGATTTCCACAATAAAATGAGGAGTTTTGGACATAAGTGGGTACTGCCAATGCAAAACTGTTTTGAAATTTTCAGATGTTACTAAAATCCCTGTTGGTGAAGGCACTAGAATGAAGAGAACAATTACACGTTGATAAACAGACCTTTGCAAACACAACAGCCAAATGAACTTCTAAATTATTTGGAAAAGGCAACATGCTGAACACAAAAATCACAAATACTTCCCCCAAATGAGCTAGTCTGTCACCAATACAAACATCTATAAGCCCTGTACGCTGTTCTACTACTCACCTCTCATGCAAAGACAGCTTTTGTCCTCTTTGCAACATCAGATAACCCATGCCCACTGAGAGCAAGTCTATCAGACAGCCTGTATCAGGCCCCTAAGCAGTGATTATACCCCTGTGTTGGTCTTTAACAGCAAGACAGGTTGTAAGACTTTACCCAAGTTAGAGGAGACTACCCAGTTCCTGTAGATTTCTCTCGCTGTTCAGAAATTGAATTGGAGTGGATGGGCTGAGAGATGGTACCAGAGCTGGAGTATCAAGACCAAAATACAACAGGCCTCCTAGGGTAAACCTGGATTCCCTATTAATTTCTAACAGTAATACTTCTACCACTCCAGCAGTGTCTTCAGTAAGCTGTGATGACCAAAATAAACTACAAACATTTGTAAGGAATTTGAACACTGAAGCTATAATGTAGTTCCATTTGAAGGAACGTGTTTGAAGTACACTTAGCAAACAAAATCAGAGGCAATATAGTAAAGCAATCCAAAGATAAGAAGCAACACTGACAGTCTTCCATGTACAGCAAGTATCTGTTTCAAGTAGCAATCCCAAGAGGAGTAACAAGGGAGCAGCTGCAAGGGAAGGAATAATACAGAATCCTGTAAATGCTGATGTGCCGCATGACACTCAAGAAGAGAAGAGAAATTAAGGTCACTTGTCGTGGTTTGACACAGAAAAAGAAATTTTCTCGGAAGGCAGAGGTCAATTTGGATATTGACCGATTGAAGGTGGACACGCCTCTGAGAACACAGAGGGGTTAAAAGCAGAATTCCCAGGGAAACTCGCTCTCTTTGGTTCCGGTCAGCGCACAGTGCAGCCTCTCCCCTGCCCGGCCGTGGCTGGGTGGGGAGGGGAAGGCCCATGGCCTGACTGAGGTGGGCCCAAGGGTGGAGGGACTGGAAACCCCTGCAGATGGAAGGGTGGAGAAATCTGGGATGTCTCCGTTCCCCCCAGTTCACGCAGGGAAGGAGAAGAGCGAGGGGGGGTGGGACGAGGACCGGAAGGTGCCTAGCTGCCTTTGGGAGCCGGAGAATCTGGGCAGAGAGCCAGCCAGGGAGTCAGGACTTGAGAAATGAAAGCTTTGTGAAATTTTTTCCCCTCCTCAGTTTGAAAGAGAGGAAGAGAGACAGCTTGGACCCTGGGATGTTATAAGGAGAAATTCTAGGTGGGAGGGGGTGAATGAGTGTTTTTTTGGCTGGACTTTCTCCTTGGTAGCCACCGACTGAATTAATCTCCTCCTCCAAGAGAGACTGTATTTTGGGAAGATGCCAGCGAGCCAAGAGACCATGCTTCAGCTGGGAAAAGACAGAAGTGGAGCGAACAGAGAAAAGTTAGGGGGTTTGTGGTAGTGCCCCCTGTCCTCAAAGAAGGAGAAGATCTCTGTTCTTGGATCCCCAGCCCCAGGGGAAAATGGGGGGGGACTGTGGTCCCAAAAAACTAAAAACTGAACTGTTGTTGGCTTTTTCCCCCTCTTGGCAGAACATCCTTGAAAGGAAAAAAATCCTAAAGGCAGTCTGACCACCCATGCATTGGTGGTGAGAGCACTGTGCATGGAAAGGAGAAGGGTCACCATGGCAAACTTTTCTCCAGGCAGTGCCATGTGTGACATGGAAGCACAGGATGTGGCAGCTGTGTTTTCTTGGGGGGTCTGTGGCACAGGAGAGACTCTGTTCCCTCGATGGACTGAGTATCGGTTGTTTGGAGGGTGGAAACCTGACTGGGGTCCAGATTGTGTCTCACTGTGGTTTGTTGGAGTTGGGTGGTAGGAGGAGGAATGCTTTGCAAGGTTTTCATTTTGATCTTTGTGTGGTTTTTTTTTTTCTTTCCTCCCCTTTTTTTTCCTTTTGTAGTAGTAGCTTAATAAAGTTTTCTATCTGTTATTAAGCTTGGGCCTGCTTTGCTCTGTTCTTGATTGCATTTCACAGCATTCAATTGAGAGATTGCATTTTCATGGGGGCACTGGCATTGTGGCAGTGTCAAATCATGACATCATTCAACTAAATTTAACTGTTACAACTCAGCTTCTCAATATCTAGTTTGGCACCTCTAGTATTCTCAATATGGCTTTTACAAAATGCTGAGGGAACTCATATCAGACTTGCTCTTGTTCACAAAGCAAGTACTACAACTTCATTCTCTGATGTATTTAGGGAAAGTAAACAATTTTCACATCCTGAGAACAAGACCACAAATATAACACATTACTGAAAGTGATACGTAGAGGCTGAGATATGCTACTGACAACCACAAAGATTTGATGTAATATAGGTCCTTCTGCAAGCAGTACCGTGGTTTGTTTTAATACATACAAGAGGGGTATTTCAGCTATTGGATGAAAAGGAAAATAATAATCACATTCACAACCACAAGAAAAAAAAGGTGACAAGTTGACAGAAGAGGCATCAAGCACACAGATAGGTGAAAGCACATAAACATTACTTCAAATATGCACTTTTAAGCCACAGTGCAGCTAGCCTTACAAAATTTTAACTTTTGTGTACTATTACACAAAATAACCTGCTTAACATAAGGGGTTGACCCAGAGCACTGAAGGAGGTAACAAGTATTACAGCAGGACCCCTCCATCATCTGCCTAAGGCCTGGGGAAGTCCCTGCTGATTAGTAACCAGCAATGCAATGCACTGCCTAAAGCAAAAATTAATTCAATAAACTGGACATTTCCAAGATGTAAAAATGAGATAGCCTTCAAAGCCTGATACTTGTACCTTGTGTAAGACTGAACTTCCTTCCCTCATTCTAGCATTATGGTATACACAGAGGGATTTGTCAGCACTGCTTACACAAAAATAATTCAGCAGAAGTGCAATAATGCACATAATTGAACAGGGCCTGATGACTCCACAATGCAGAGTTTATGGTTCAGCTATCTGAGACAACAGCAGCCCTAGAAACAGCAGAAGTTCATTCAAGTCATATGTGACTTTTAAACATAATTTAGGCACTGAAATACAGACTGAAAGCACAAACTGAAAGCTTGAAAAGACAAACTGAAGAAATAACAAGTAAAAATGTATTTTGAGTCTGTTCCTTTTTTAGATTTCCAAAAAACAAACAAATCCTTATATTCCCCAAGTGACACATCATAGGAAGACACTTATAAGCCACTTTAACAGGCCAAGAGGGACAACAGTCTGAACTTTGCTGTAGAGTCATGGTTAACTAATCATTTAAAAACAGATAGAGGCCAGTTGTTCTCTTCTGGGCCCCTGACTGGGAGAAGTGTACCTTCCTTGTGCCAGCCCTGTACCCTACCTACAGCTGCTTCAGCTCACAGATTCACAGAATATTCTGAATTGGAAGGGACCCGCAAGGATCACGAAATCCAAGTCTTATGTAAGTGGCCCATAGGAGACCTGAGCTCACATATCCACTTAAACTGCAGCCATATAGGGCAGCAGTTCTGATGACTTATGCCACCCATGAAAATGAAGAAAATGGAAAAAAGATCAGATAAATTTGCACTACCTTCGAATACTTGTGCAGTACTCTGCAGCCATATGCAGTGAAAAAAAAAAAACCAAACAGAAAAAAAGGTGGCAATAAGATAACCAATACTCTGAAAGACAGATTCTGAAAGCAGCAAGTCAATGCTAAGGATGAAAATAATAAATAAAAATAATTTAGTCTATCTCTGAAGGCTGCATTTCCTTTTTTTCTTTTTTTTTTGTGTCCAACTTGGGATTCAAAGGGTTTGAGATAACAACAGACTTGACTGGGGTGTACCACACTAAATTTACAACTGTGGCTTGCCCTGAGGCTCACTTTCCTGACTGTATATTCGAGTCCAGGGCTCAGAGTCCAGCACTCGTTGCTTTCACTGCTTGCAGTACTGCTTATCACCTCACAGGAATGAACATGCCTGGGAACATCCTGGTAACAGCCATGGTGATACATATGGGCTGGCAAGTGGCCAGGGTATTCTGTGCTGCATCACACCCAGTACATAAAGTGGGGGGAAGAAGGAGGAAGTGTGGCACATTTGGAGTGATGGTGTTTGTCTTCCCAAGTAACCCTTACCCATGATGGGGCCCTGCTCTTCTGGAGACGGCTGAACACCTGCCTGCCCATGGGAAGCAGCAAATTAATTCCTTTCTTTGCTCTGCTTATGTGCATTGCTTTTGCTTTCCCTATTAAACTGTCTTTATCTCAATCCATGAGTTCTCCAGCTTTTACCCTTCTGATTCTCTCCCCAGTCCTGCTGGTAATGGAGTGAACAAGCAGCTCTGTGGGGTTTGGTTAAACCTTGACAAAACGGTCCTCCTAATTATTTATATCCTCACTTCAATCTGTTCTAAATCAAACAAAATTGACCTGTACTAAAAGCAGAGTTCAGCCATCTGAGGGCTAGACAAGAGTTAGGAGCACTGCCCAGCACCACAGGACCAAAACCAAGCCGGAAGAGGTCACTGCTCACCAGAGGCTGCAGGAGCACCAAGCACGTGCCTTGGGGAGGAATGGAAAATGTCTGTCAGAGCAGTGGTTCTCCCTTCTGCCATGCTCCCCTTCAAGGCAGCACATCTGGGTTAGCGTGGCCCCTCTCTGTGCACTTCTGGCAGGCCAGGCACCAAACAGGTCCTGCTCCCATCAGACTGTTGGAGGGGAGCTGCCTGTTGGCTGTGCTTGGCTGGGAGCTTGGCAGACTGGGAAGCACCAAGGAGCAAGGTGATAAAGAAATTTTGTACCTGCTAGATGACTGGCTATCTTTTAAGAGGCAGCAACCACGAGGTTTATGTGAAAATGCTTGCATGTGCCTGTCTTGGCCAACTTTCATTTATTCTTGCAAAAGAAACCAAGGACATATATTTCTCTTGTAATGCCAACTCCATACCTGAATGTTACTTCCTTAAAAAAGTTACTGAAAACAAGCTTAAATTAATGCATGTAACAATTTATGCAGAAAACTTCTACCAGAAGTTCTCGAAAGACATCAGATTCACAAAGGAATTAGTTTACAAATTAAATGAGTACCATGACTGGTGTAAAATTTAAAGCTACTAATTTTTTAAGTATTTACTGCAATGAACTTAAATGATTTCTCAAGTATCATGAATAAACGTTATACACAGTAGATTGAGCATTTTTACAGATGCTATTTACAGCAGAATTTTATTTTCTAAGGTCTCAGAGGTTTGACATTGTTCTGTGCAGTTTTTAAAATCATTGTTTATGACAAAAATCTCCACAAAGTTGTAAGCTGTACTAAGAGGAGAGGTAGACCGAGATCACCATCTTAAGAAAAACCACACCAAGTAGCACATGATGGACACTTAAAAAACAGATGCAATAATACAAGATAAATATTGTTTTATCTATGAGTGTTCATCCCTTTTGTTATAGCTGAGAAGTGTTGTAATAGATGATATCTAAATACAGCACTTTCTACCATCTAATTTGTTTTTGTTTGCAGCTTGACAGTAAATTGCTATGAATGTCAGTAATCTGAATCATAAACAACTCAAGGCCACTATGATTATCACACACAACGGGAAGTCAGCTGCCTAAATGAACTACACACATCCTTGAAAATGTGGCTTACAATGTGCAGCAAGCACCTGCACCACTACCACAGCCTCTAAATATTCTTCACCTTGACCACAGACCTTGTCTTCCACGATATTAAAATAAAGACTGAGAGTTCCCATCAGCAAGAGCCCAGCTCCACTGTGGGGTCAGAGGCCTGTCAATGCAGGCACATTAGGCACTCAGCTGCAGGAAATGCATATGTTCCAACTGCTCCTGGATTGTCTGGCATCATTCCTTTTCTAAGGAAAACAGTGTCCTAGAACGGAAGATGAAGATGACTGAACACTTCCTCATTACACACTCAGCCTCGATATATGTATTATACTACCGGCACATTGAAAGCCCTATAAGATTTAAGGGGAAAAAAATAATCATACAACTATTACCAAGGAAATTCTGGGCTCCTCGGTACAAGAGAGACATGAAGTACATGGAGCAGGTCCAGCAAAGAGCTACAAAACTGACCAAGGAATTGGGGCATGTCCATTATGAGGAAAGGCTGAGGGAGCTGGGCCTGTTCAGTCTCATGAGGAGATGATCGAGAGGGGACCTCACCCAAAGCTACAAGTACCTGAAGGAGGAGTGCCAAGAAGACAGTTTCTCACTGGTGCCAAGCAACAGAACAAGAAGCAAAGAGCAGAAACTAATGTACAGAAAGCTCCACCTGAATATGAGGAAAAACTTCTTTACTATGTGTGTGACCAAGCACTGGAACAGATTGCCCAGAAAGGCTGCGGAGTCTCCCTCACTGGAAATACTCGAGAACCATCTGGATGCAATCCTGTGCCATGTGCTCTAGGATGACCATGACTGAGCAGGAAAAGGTTGGACCAGATGACCCACAGCGATCACTTCCAACCTGACCCATTCTGCTATTCTATACGTGACAGCATCATAAACATGGTTCAGACTTCCCTTTCTACCTTAATTCTTTACCTGTAGGTCAGCACATCTGCTTGCATCAATAGTATAACAAAGTAAGTCATTACATATAAACCCACCATTTTCATTCAACTAATACACAGAATTGTCAATTAGAAGTCCCTTCATTATGCTTTTGTTCACTAAAAAGAAAGGGTTTACCTATAGTGGCTGTGACCAAGATGAATGCAAATCACCAAGAAAATACTGCTGGAGTTTTCAAAATTTAACTCAAAAATACATTCTGCTCCTTTGAGCTGAGGGTTTGCTGCACCCACACGTAGAAAAGTGAGCTTTCTGCTTCTAATGGTGTTTTTAGCATCATTAGTCCTTATCAGCCAAAGCTAAGCAGACTTCCAATGCATGGTGTGGCCCATGCCCAGGGGCAATCAAGTTCAGTCACTTCACCTGGGCATGGATCTGAACTCAAAGAAATCTCCATTAGCAGAATCCAAAAAGCCTGGGCACACAGCCAGCTCTCAGTAGTCTCAATAAAAATTAAATTCATGTTCTCTTTGGACTATTAGACAGCAACCTCTGTAATTAACTTTTCCAGTTTAAAATGAAACTAGTAAGCCTGACTATTTCTTTTGTAGTTTACTCGCCGTGCAAACGGAGACATAATGCTGCTCTCCGTTGGCAAGCCACTCTTCCCCAGGAGCGCTTCGCCAAAATGCGCGTGTTCCAGGCCGTGATCCCGGCACCTTCTTTACACTCCCTAGTCCTGTGCTCCCCATTTCCGCACCGAAATTCCCAGTTTCCCTACTTCTTTGTACATACGAAGCCATGAAGCACGGCGCAGCAGGCCTGTCCCAGGCACACGCCGCTCCTGCTGTGAGTGCCAGAAGCGTGCGAACAGCCGAAACGCGGCTGATGTCAGCAGCGCGCCGCCGGCGCGCCGCCAGACGGCCTCCGGGGCCCGGCCGCACCGCGCACCGGGACAGCTCGGCCGGGGCGCCCGGGGGCAGCCCGGGAGCGGGGGCTCCTCCCGCCGCCGGCCGCTCGCACTGCCCGACGGCTCCCCGTGCCCGCAGCGGGCGGCAGCACGCGGGCCTGGCCCCACCGGCGGCGCTCGGTCCCGCAGCGTTCCGCACAGGGCGCGGCACGGCCGGCGCCGCCGCCCCTCGGGTGACCCGCGCTGCCTCAGTCGGTCTGCCTGCCCGCGCCGCGCCAGCCCCCGCCTCGCCCCGCCCGTTACCTGCGGGCGGCTGCTCCTCCTGGGAAGCCGCGCTCCCGCGGAGCGCCAGCAGCGCCGCGACAGCCAGGAGGGACAGCGGCCGCCACATGGCGCTCGGCGGGGACCGGACGAAGCCGCCCCGCACACGGAGCCCCCGGCGCTGCCGGCCCCACGCCCGCTCGCCGCCCCGCCCCGCCGCGGCGCCTGCGCCGGCGGGAAGGGGCGGGATGCCCGGCAATGATAGCGCGGGGGCGGCGCGGGGTCACCGGCGGACAGCGCCCCGGGGGCGCCGCGGGCGCGGCGGGAGGGGGAAGCCGCGGAACTGCGGGCTGGCGGCCGCCCCAGCGGTGTGGGGGATGTCGTGCTCCGCGATGCCCGCGCTGGCTTTGTCTGGGACGTGTTTAATACCTGTCAGCCCCAGCCGCTTGGACAGCCCCGTCCGGCTCGTTATGTTGCAACTTATGCTGTCTCCCCATTTCTTAAAAAACACGAAGCGTTCACCCTGTGGAGTATTTCGGAAACAGCACACGGAACTGGTACACGTAGAGAAATCCTAATTTATGCTGCGAGGCTTTATTTTTCTTGGAAATAACCTAAATGTATATGTGCTTCAAAAAATCGAAGTTTGCTGAGTAGGATGGAGACTGCAGTTTTTGCCATCTTCCTGTTCCCGTGTCTCCTATCCAGTGTCCCAGTGCCAGGCAATTCTGCACCTTCACCTTTTAAAGTCAAGGCCACCCGCTTCTCCTACATGCCTCTGCAGCTGCGATGAGGATGTAGCAGCTATATAAGTTTTTGTCAGTGATTTTGCAAGTAATGATTTTTCCAGACCTGAAATGGAGGAACGTTGATGGATCTTTGACATCCACACGTCTTCTCAGGCTTTCAAGGAGACAGAAAGGAGGAAACAGAGCCACAATGCCAGAACCTTTATGCTTCCCCCTTCCCATACCTCTCTTTGAAACAGCTCAGCTGCTCACTTTCCTTTATTTCCTGTCCCAAGTTCACTCCCTAGGGAAAGGTGTGGAGAAAATTGTTTTCGTACTACTTGGTATCAAAACTCAAGAGGCGGCACAATTTGCTGTGTGGGATGGAATGAGTAGCAAGGAGAGCGAAGGTTACAAGTTAGCAATGGATGATGAAAAAACCACCTCACTGTCACAGCCTCAGAAATCAGGTGTTCCCAGAGGTGATGGAGTGTAGGATCAGCGTGGGGTACAGAGCTAACATCTCGTCCCAGCTGTGCTAAGGCTGAAGAAAATGGATTGTGAAACTACACTGACTTTGTGTACCTAACGATCCTCATAGACTGACCTTTGTGCTTAATGCAGGGCAACAGCAAGCTTTTTACGACCAACAAGCACTTAATTGCCTTTACTGAAGTATTGAGCACTCACTGGCACGTGGATTTTAACTGCCTGAATTATGTCATTCTTGCACAGTATTTTCTGGCACATAACGACAGGATGAGAAGAAAATGGCCTCACATTGTGACAGAGGAAGTTTGGATCAGATATTAGAAAAGGAATTTCTACATCAATGCAGTTGCCAAACATTAGAACATGGCTTCCCAGGGAAGTGGTTGGTTGAGTCACTATCCCTGGATAAAAGAAGCACATATATATTAAACTTAGAGACAGGGTTTAATGGTGGACTTAGTAATGTTTCAATGACAGCTGGATTTGGTGATAGTAACAGGTTTTTTCCAACCTACATGATTTTGTGATTGAAATGATAATTTACACAAAATTAAGTAAGAACAAGGCATCACCAGCCCTTGAGAGAGTTCAGGTGTTCTGACAGTTGTATCAAAGAATGACAGTGTACCTAAGGTGGCTGTCACATAAACAGAGCTTGATAAGATTGTGGGTGTTTTATGAAAATACTTCAGAGACTTGAAAAAACATGAAATGGGAAATCAATGAATAAAAATTAAGCCAGCTCTGCATGAAGAAAGTAAATATAATTCCACTTCTGAGATCTGTTCCTGGTGTACCCGCTGCCTGTGCTATGGATACAGCTGTTGGCAGGGGGTGTTCTTACTGTGCAGTCAATGTACCCTATCACCACCAAAACATTGCCAACTTACTCAGTTTTATCCTTGTCCTGAAGTGTTATACACTGGGGAAAAAAAAATGGCTAATATGTAAACTGTCTTGTAACTTCCTCTTTGCTCTTCACACACTCAGCCCAAGTGCTCGTCATGTGCCTTTCTCACACAAAAGGTCCTGACAAGATAAACAAGTTCACATATTGTGAGACACATTTCCACAGCCTTTTGTATGCTTGTTTGTTTGTTTGTTTTCTTAGCTATCACTTAGTTGTGTCACAGGGTTACTGTGCCTTCATGTCCATGTGGTTTTGCCATCTTTGATGAAATAGGGACAGGATTTTCACCTCACTTATACTTTAAGTGAGTACATTTTCTTTAAATGCTATCATAAAGAGAAATCACAGACACAGAGAAGTTATGTCTAACCAGAACTTCCCCCAGTGATTAAAAGCACTAGCTGTCCTCCCCTCCCAAAGGGAAAAACAATCAAATACATAAACAGCCCCAAAAGAAATAAAATAAAAAAGAGATCATTTGTGATCATTTCACTTCTACACATCCCATTAATCTGTTGGGAAGTTTAGTAATCTTCTCATGTAGACTTACAGTAAAAATACACATTTGATCTTCCAGGAGCATCATTCCTAACTCTCCAGCAGTCATTTCAAATGCATGTCCAATTTTATTTTCCTTGGCTACCAATTTTTTCTAAATTAACAGTTTCAGGAAACAGCAAACTCCATTGGAGCCCCCTTTATTTCAATTTTAAAGTATATATATATAAAAAAATCCAGTCAGACAAAGGAATACAATACATTCTCCTTGGCAACAACCATAAGATCTTGATATCTGTCTGACTGTGCAATGGCTGTAGAGCTATTAGCCAAGCAGCAGGTATGTGACTGGCCATTTAAAATGCTGGTTTTGCATAGTGAAGGTATGGTGGAGTGCTAAGTCTGAGCATGGAACTTGAGAATCAGCAATGTAAATCCCTAGGAAAGCAGGCTTCATAAATTTTGCTGTTCATGGAAAATTTTATATGAATATGTGTTTGTTGAAGCAAGTTCTATTATCTGGAAAAGGAGAAGGCCAAATAAACAGTAACTGGAATGCATAGCAGAGGAAGGTGAAATCAAATAGATGAAGCAATATATGAAAGTGCCAGTGTGTGTACTGATACCAGCCAAGCTTTCATTCTTTTTCACAAATGCCCAAAGATAATTAATCAGCCATGGCAATAGGTGTCCTGCAGTTGAATAGGAAGAGGAAAATAAGGAACTTCAGTTACTCATTTGAGCACAATGTTAAACTGTTACCCTTGGCTGAAGTTGAGATGGAGTAGGGATCCGTTCATGATCCCACAGGGAAAGGGATTATTCCTGAGCAGGACACTATTGGGCTTTTCCAGGAACATAAGAGATAGTCTTGGAGAAAACTCAGATGGCAGAGACTTACAGAGACACCTACCTTTCCAAATTTATCAACAGTTTTTTGTTACCTTGGCCATTTATTAGATATAACTTGTTTGGCTTATGCTTCTATTGTTTAAAAATAACAAAAGGATATTTGACAAATTAGTGGTGGGTCAGTAAACTGTCACTTCAGCTAAAGCCAGAAGAGACACCTGGTCTTTATTCTATCCAATGATTTATTGTGCTGGGAGACTTGCCACAATTGAACTGTGTGATAATTAATAGACTATGAAAAATGTTATCAGATTATGTTTGTTTATTTATTAGCAACAGGCTAATAAATTATAAATGTGTTAAATCATGTAGAGAGGGGAACAGCAACTCCAGCACTTGAGGAAGCAGATATTTTCTGCAGCAGTGCACAGGACTGCCCATGTCTGTCCCAAAAGGATGTTGCAGTCAGGAAGAGGGGCTGAAAGGAACTATACTGATCAAAAGTTGAAAGTGGGTATTCTGAGGAGAGGCTAAAAGTGCTTATCTTTTAAAATAAAAGGCTGAAATTGAAACATCTCTCTGCAAAAATGTGCACTATTTTTAAACCGAAAGAAAAAGTTTAAACATAATAATGAAATACAAAATGTTCCTGCCTGAATTAAGGCTGAAAATTACAAGAACATTTCTAATTTTCATGAGATTAGACCTTGGAACAGCTTCAGACTAAGATTAATGGGAACATAAATTTAGTTAGGTGTAATGAAGTTTGTTTATATTATAAATAATTTTGAAAAAATAGTTATTAAAGACTATTTCACTGCTATAGCAGTGAAGAGGATTCTGGTAATCTATCTAGATTACTAGTGAACTGAAGAATGTGTATAAATATTAGCTGCTAAGAGTATTGTATTAGAGCTTCTTTGTTTTGTAAAGTGTATTATTGATAACCTCCAAGCCTCTCCTTTTTAGACAAAAACCAAACTTCATCCCCATAAAATAAAAAAGTTCTTCTGACAATACTTTGAAATAATGCCAAAAGAGAATTAAAACCTGGTAAAAGAAAAAAAAAAACCAAAACACTTGATTTAATAAGAAGCCTTTCCAATTTCTACTGGACATGTGTTTCATTTGTAAGCATAGTGAAGCAAAATGCCCTGCAGAGCTGCACACAGACTGGCACAATTCTGACATAGTAAGATCGATAAAGGGATGCATATCTCATTACATCCACTAAGAAATTAGTTGTTAAAAAGAAAAATGTCAAGAATGGTTTAGATTGTAGAATTGTGCCTGAGTCTGATCTGTAACAAACTTATATAGCGTACTGTCAAACCTAAGTAGAACATAATTGCTACTCAACAAACAGGCAGCTAAGCAAGTAGTTAGTAGTTCGTGTGATTTTGTTTTCCTGATTTTTTTCCTGAGGAAAAAACTTTTCTAAACTTTTCTACAGTTATTTTTGCTTTTGCTGAAGAACTTGTGGTAGTTTTCTGTTATTGGGAGGAGAGCTATATAAAGACAAGAAGTTAAACATCATGCACATCTTGGGAAATGGAGTGGTGTGTCTGAGTTTTTGAAAGGTAAATTGCTTGTTGGTAGAATTGTGTCGTTAAAGTTCAGGGCTTGACATTTCTCAGTGATCTCAGTCCTAGGTGGAGGTTAACAAAGCTTGGGAAGGATGTAGAACTGATAGTGGAGACAAGGAATAAAGAATTTAC